CACTACAGTATAGTGTGTGTGCTGTTAGAGAAATACACTACAGTATAGTGTGTTTGTCAGAGAAATACACTACAGTATAGTGTGTGTGCGGTCAGAGAAATACACTACAGTATAGTGTGTGTGCTGTCAGAGAAATACACTACAGTATAGTGTGTGTGCTGTCAGAGAAATACACTACAGTATAGTGTGTGTGCTGTTAGAGAAATACACTACAGTATAGTGTGTGTGCTGTCAGAGAAATACACTACAGTATAGTGTGTGTGCTGTCAGAGAAATACACTACAGTATAGTGTGTGTGCTGTCAGAGAAATACACTACAGTATAGTGTGTGTGCTGTCAGAGAAATACACTACAGTATAGTGTGTGTGCTGTCAGAGAAATACACTACAGTATAGTGTGTGTGCGGTCAGAGAAATACACCACAGTATAGTGTGTGTGCTGTCAGAGAAATACACTACAGTATAGTGTGTGTGCGGTCAGAGAAATACACCACAGTATAGTGTGTGTGCTGTCAGAGAAATACACTACAGTATAGTGTGTGTGCGGTCAGAGAAATACACTACAGTATAGTGTGTGTGCGGTCAGAGAAATACACTACAGTATAGTGTGTGTGCTGTCAGAGAAATACACTACAGTATAGTGTGTGTGCTGTCAGAGAAATACACTACAGTATAGTGTGTGTGCTGTCAGAGAAATACACTACAGTATAGTGTGTGTGCGGTCAGAGAAATACACTACAGTATAGTGTGTGTGCTGTCAGAGAAATACACTACAGTATAGTGTGTGTGCGGTCAGAGAAATACACTACAGTATAGTGTGTGTGCGGTCAGAGAAATACACTACAGTATAGTGTGTGTGCTGTTAGAGAAATACACTACAGTGTGTGTGCTGTCAGAGAAATACACTACAGTATAGTGTGTGTGCTGTCAGAGAAATACACTACAGTATAGTGTGTGTGCGGTCAGAGAAATACACTACAGTATAGTGTGTGTGCGGTCAGAGAAATACACTACAGTATAGTGTGTGTGCGGTCAGAGAAATACACTACAGTATAGTGTGTGTGCTGTCAGAGAAATACACTACAGTATAGTGTGTGTGCGGTCAGAGAAATACACTACAGTATAGTGTGTGTGCTGTCAGAGAAATACACTACAGTATAGTGTGTGTGCTGTCAGAGAAATACACTACAGTATAGTGTGTGTGCTGTCAGAGAAATACACTACAGTATAGTGTGTGTGCGGTCAGAGAAATACACTACAGTATAGTGTGTGTGCTGTCAGAGAAATACACTACAGTATAGTGTGTGTGCGGTCAGAGAAATACACTACAGTATAGTGTGTGTGCTGTCAGAGAAATACACTACAGTATAGTGTGTGTGCTGTTAGAGAAATACACTACAGTATAGTGTGTGTGCGGTCAGAGAAATACACTACAGTATAGTGTGTGTGCTGTTAGAGAAATACACTACAGTATAGTGTGTGTGCGGTCAGAGAAATACACTACAGTATAGTGTGTGTGCTGTTAGAGAAATACACTACAGTATAGTGTGTGTGCTGTTAGAGAAATACACTACAGTGTGTGTGCTGTCAGAGAAATACACTACAGTATAGTGTGTGTGCTGTCAGAGAAATACACTACAGTATAGTGTGTGTGCTGTCAGAGAAATACACTACAGTATAGTGTGTGTGCTGTCAGAGAAATACACTACAGTATAGTGTGTGTGCTGTCAGAGAAATACACTACAGTATAGTGTGTGTGCGGTCAGAGAAATACACTACAGTATAGTGTGTGTGCTGTCAGAGAAATACACTACAGTATAGTGTGTGTGCTGTCAGAGAAATACACTACAGTATAGTGTGTGTGCGGTCAGAGAAATACACTACAGTATAGTGTGTGTGCGGTCAGAGAAATACACTACAGTATAGTGTGTGTGCTGTTAGAGAAATACACTACAGTATAGTGTGTGTGCTGTCAGAGAAATACACTACAGTATAGTGTGTGTGCTGTCAGAGAAATACACTACAGTATAGTGTGTGTGCGGTCAGAGAAATACACTACAGTATAGTGTGTGTGCTGTTAGAGAAATACACTACAGTATAGTGTGTGTGCGGTCAGAGAAATACACTACAGTATAGTGTGTGTGCTGTTAGAGAAATACACTACAGTATAGTGTGTGTGCTGTTAGAGAAATACACTACAGTGTGTGTGCTGTCAGAGAAATACACTACAGTATAGTGTGTGTGCTGTCAGAGAAATACACTACAGTATAGTGTGTGTGCTGTCAGAGAAATACACTACAGTATAGTGTGTGTGCTGTCAGAGAAATACACTACAGTATTGTATCCGCCCAGGAAAGAGCTTCAGTTCGCTTTGTGTTTTGGTAAACACGGTCAGTGTTTATCATTGAAACAACACAGGCCTTCTTACACACAAATAACAAACGACAGATCCCAGTCTATAAGAGAAAAGCCCACTTATATAATATTCATCCATCCATGCACATGATGATCATCACCTGAATTTCACATCACTCGTGTTTTCTGAAACATTACTTTAATTTTACTGGCCAACACATTAGACATGGCTGTGTTAATACGGCACATTTATATAAACATAAACAAATGCATGACGCAACAGCCACACGATATCATGAAAATATTGAAGAAAAAAAAAAGTGTTTTGTTTTTACGTCAAGCTCATTCAAACAAAGTTTGACAAACTGAATCATTTCCGCCCATACGCGCTACATGTCGATATGACATTTTCACAGAACAACACGTCACATAATAAAGGGATATTATTATTCATACAGGTCATGTGTGAAATATGAGCTTACATCCATCTGCAGAGGTAATAATCTCAGCCGACATTTCTCTGAGACCACGAATCCCTTCGGTAAATCAATGTACTGACCCCATTCCTCCGAGAAATACTGAAGCACCAGTTTACGATGAACATCGATCTGACGCCCGTAGATGGACAGAAACTTCTGGATGAGCACTTCATATCCCGAGCCCACGGGCACAGACGAGGGCCGAGAGGACACGGAGAAGGAGAATAACACCGGGACCTGCTGGCTATTGCTGCTGTGTGTGTCCGCCATGATCCTGTGAATCAAGAGTGATGTCCGACTCACAAATGAATTGTTCTTAAGAACCGATTCATAAGAACCGAGCTCATAAAGTTGTGAACTGGTCTTATGTAGGTTTAAAAATTAAATGTGTTTGTTTGGCATAATTGGATATAAATAAAAATAAACATGTTATGCTACTAAAGATGCAAAGACAATATCTGCTTGTGTTAGGCTCCTTTCCTCTGTATTTTTATCAGTTTGTGAATTGAACACAGGGAATTGGCACAGGAACGCAATGTCTGTGTTGTAAACCTGTAATAGTGGTGGTTGTAGCATGTCAAAAGTCCAAACAAAGTGCACTAACGTCCAGTGTGATGACTGAAACCAATCGAATCTTTTTAATGAATCATTGAAACGAACAGTTCGAAAGAAGCGATTCGTTAAAATTCCTCTGATATGAAATGAAAGTGACATCTCTTTAAAATCACCCTTGCTTAAACAATCATTACTTCCTGCTTGACCTTTAAATTTAGCATGTATCCAACTTGTCATCCCCCCAAAGCGTGTGTTCTCTTCAGAGTGTGTAAAACCTGGACTGGAAAAACTAAAGACCCTCTGTGGTGAAAACTGAAAAGCAAGTTTTGAATATTGTTTATATGCCTACGTTGTGTTTTTAATATGCTAAAGACAAACCATGTGCAAATTAATCAGACAAACACACCATTGCCAAGTATTTTCTCTTAAATCTGCAGTGAACCTGCAGTCTCAAAGTGAGAGCATTAGTTTGACTGAGGCACTTTGTGAACATGAATATCTGGCAATGGTCTCTGGCCTCTCTGAGTGATGGAGTGGAACCCCAAATGATAAAATGCATAATTCATTATCAGTTTTATTATGAATTGAAATTCTTGCAAACATAGTCAATGTTAAAATTACAGACAATATAGTCCTGACATGGCTTTCTTTCTCAGTATCATGGCATCATTATAAACAGCTCATAGATGATGATATACACTGCTGTGAAAATAAGCTTCACAAAGATGATGAACAGGAATTGCTTGTTTCCAGCCACAGTCTATTGAAGTCAAATTCAATCCTTCTTTTCTCTTGATAAAGAAATGTGAGCAAAACCGTTACACGTTTGAAATGAGTGATGCTTTGCTGTCTTTTTCTTGCATTGGTTTCTGACATGCTTTTCACCATACATTGAAAACGTGAATGCATGTAAACAAAATTTTCATTTACTATAACATAATTAGGTTAATAAAACTGATTGACATCATTGCATATATTTTTCACTTCAGTAAGTGAAGAAAAAAAATATTTTAAATATAATTCACAGTGAATCTCAAATGTTTCAACCCTGTTTAACAAGACTAAAACAAAATAATAATCAACCAAAAAGAAGAAAATCTTCACTTTCTATGATGCTCAGAACTATAGCAAAAAAATTAAAAATACAAATACAGTTCGAGTCACAGTCAGACTTAGTCTGTGTATTTGAAGTATTCACAGTGCATGTGTATATTACACATAATTATAACATTACACATCAACATATACAAAGATGGCCGGTTTTATTAAAATAGCTCAAACACACACAGCCACTCAAGAGTCAAGACTGATGTCAGAAAGATGTCAGTAAGACTGGCTTCATAAGTCAGCAAGATTATACACCGTACATGATTATAAGTGCTGAATTTGGTTTGGAATTCCTTTTTACATCATTTACTGTAAATTTAACTGTAACCATTAAATTTCACTGGGATTGAGTTGCATTGTGGGACGTTAAAGCTTGATGTGCTCATATGACACACACTATAGCAATATGTGAAAGTGTCTATTTTGAACATAATCTTTAGTCTCCAAATATAAAAGCTTTTCCTTCTCTCACACACTCACACACACACGTTATATTAGCCAGATGGCCTGTTCCACGTCTCAAGGTCTTTGTGCACTTCCTGTGTCGATATCAGCACACACACAACTGTTCGCTCATGTCCACTCGGAGCATATCATCATTACCCTCTTATATATCTACTAACTCTACATTCACTGAATGACACGGTCTGCAGCTCTGATCAATAATTCACTACGGAAGCTGATCAAATATACAGCGCTACAAACGAGCCGGCGAGTCCCTCAGCGTCAGCACGGCTAAATCACTTCTCTAAGGTCTCGTGGTGCTGTCAAGGGCTCGCGCTAGACTTTCTTCTGAGCGTTTAATATACTATCATAGACTGAGCTGGTGAGGGGAATGTAGCTCTTCTCTGTGTAGTCCAGGAAGAAGAGCGGGTCGCTGATGCTGGACGGGTTGAAGCCACTCTCCACCAGACCGAACTTCTGCTGCTTGAACGTGCTGGTCATCTCCATAGACTCCTACAGACGCAAACCACATGACACACTGAGCATGAGAAAGCCTCAGTCCCGAAGACAGAGGTGGACATGATTGTGATGAAGTGCAGCTACATAATGAAACTGATTGGGCGCATGCGAAAGTCCAGAAGTCCCAATCTAGACGTCTAAAGGCCGCTTCCACCCGGTATTAAAGGGTCATGAAACTCTAAACTACATTTTCTGAGATTTTAACACAGTTCAGTGTACTATAGGTGTAAGAAAACACAATGTTTTCCCTTCAAATCTACCTTCATGCCTTAAATTGTTTTAATGTAAGTCAGTGTGTTTTATTATATTTTAATAAACATACTTTACAAAAATATGATGACACTGATTATCACACAGTCAAAATCACACAGTCATAGTAAGTGTTTTTTGCTAGTTCAGCCTGATGCAGTTTTCCTTTTCACGTCCTGCATTTAAATGCATTTAAATATCAAATGCATTTGCGCCCATCTGTGCGCCAATGGGCTGCTGGTCTGAGAACAAGGTGTGTGTTCGAGCGCATTGTTGGAGCATTGCTATTTTGAGGAACTGAAATAGACTGAGCCGTTGACCAACTGAAACCTGGTCTAAAGTCAATGGCGCATTAGTAATATGTGTCTATAGGTGGGTGCACAACAAGCGTACACTCTGTTTATTACACATACACACACTCTGCTTATTGCACACACAGGGATGCACAGCAGCACACAAACTAGACAAATATTAAAAATACAAGGATTACAATGTAAGAGATTAATATTGTGTACATAAATATATGGAGGAATCTGGCTTGTCCCCTAGATGGTCTGCTTGTGCTTTAACCCACCCATTTTCCCCGTCGCACAGTCACTCAGACTCTCGTTCAGTCACTCAGACTCTCGCACAGTCACTCAGACTCTCGCACAGTCACTCGTACAGTCACTCAGACTCTCGCACAGTCACTCAGACTCTCGCACAGTCACTCGTACAGTCACTCAGACTCTCGCACAGTCACTCAGACACTCAGACTCTCGCACAGTCACTCAGACACTCAGACTCTCGCACAGTCACTCAGACTCTCGCACAGTCACTCAGACTCTCGCACAGTCACTCGTACAGTCACTCAGACTCTCGCACAGTCACTCAGACTCTCGCACAGTCACTCAGACACTCAGACTCTCGCAGTCACTCAGACTCTCGCACAGTCACTCAGACTCTTGCACAGTCACTCGTACAGTCACTCAGACACTCAGACTCTCGCACAGTCACTCAGACTCTCGCACAGTCACTCAGACTCTCGCACAGTCACTCAGACTCTCGCACAGTCACTCAGACTCTCGCACAGTCACTCAGACTCTCGCACAGTCACTCAGACTCTCGCACAGTCACTCAGACTCTCGCACAGTCACTCAGACTCTCGCACAGTCACACTCACAGTCAGTCAGACTCGCACAGTCACACAGTCAGTCAGACTCGCAGTCACTCAGACTTGCACAGTCACACTCACACAGTCACTCAGACTTGCACAGTCACACTCACACAGTCAGTCAGACTCGCACAGTGACAGTCACACTCACAGTCAGTCAGACTCATACAGTGACAGTCACACTCACACAGTCAGACTCATACAGTCAGTCAGACTTGCAGTCACTCAGACTCACACAGTGACAGTCACACTCACAGTCAGTCGGACTCATACAGTGACAGTCACACTCACACAGTCAGACTCATACAGTCAGTCAGACTCGCAGTCACTCAGACTCGCAGTCACACTCACACAGTCAGTCACACTCACACAGTCAGTCAGACTCACACAGTCAGTCAGACTCGCACAGTCACACTCACAGTCAGTCACACTCAGTCAGTCAGACTCATACAGTGACAGTCACACTCACACAGTCAGTCAGACTCATACAGTGACAGTCAAACTCTCACAGTCAGTCAGACTCATACAGTGACAGTCAAACTCACACTCACAGTCAGTCAGACTCATACAGTGACAGTCACACTCACAGTCACTCAGACTCGCACAGTCACACTCACACAGTCAGTCAGACTCGCAGTCACACTCACACAGTCAGTCAGACTCGCAGTCACTCAGACTCGCACAGTCACACTCACAGTCAGTCAGACTCGCAGTCACTCAGACTCGCACAGTCACACTCACAGTCAGTCAGACTCGCAGTCACACTCACAGTCAGTCAGACTCACACAGTTACACTCACACAGTCAGTCAGACTCGCACAGTCACACTCTCGCAGTCACTCAGACTCTCGCAGTCACTCAGACTCTCGCACAGTCACTCAGACTCTCGCACAGTCACACTCACAGGCAGTCAGACTCGCACAGTCACACTCACAGTCAGTCAGACTCATACAGTGACAGTCACACTCACACAGTCAGACTCATACAGTCAGTCAGACTTGCAGTCACTCAGACTCACACAGTGACAGTCACACTCACAGTCAGTCGGACTCATACAGTGACAGTCACACTCACACAGTCAGACTCATACAGTCAGTCAGACTCGCAGTCACTCAGACTCGCAGTCACACTCACACAGTCAGTCACACTCACACAGTCAGTCAGACTCACACAGTCAGTCAGACTCGCACAGTCACACTCACAGTCAGTCACACTCAGTCAGTCAGACTCATACAGTGACAGTCACACTCACACAGTCAGTCAGACTCATACAGTGACAGTCAAACTCTCACAGTCAGTCAGACTCATACAGTGACAGTCAAACTCACACTCACAGTCAGTCAGACTCATACAGTGACAGTCACACTCACAGTCACTCAGACTCGCACAGTCACACTCACACAGTCAGTCAGACTCGCAGTCACACTCACACAGTCAGTCAGACTCGCAGTCACTCAGACTCGCACAGTCACACTCACAGTCAGTCAGACTCGCAGTCACTCAGACTCGCACAGTCACACTCACAGTCAGTCAGACTCGCAGTCACACTCACAGTCAGTCAGACTCACACAGTTACACTCACACAGTCAGTCAGACTCGCACAGTCACACTCTCGCAGTCACTCAGACTCTCGCAGTCACTCAGACTCTCGCACAGTCACTCAGACTCTCGCACAGTCACACTCACAGGCAGTCAGACTCGCACAGTCACACTCACAGTCAGTCAGACTCACACAGTCAGTCAGACTCGCACAGTCACACAGTCAGTCAGACTCGCAGTCACTCAGACTCGCACAGTCACTCAGACTTGCACAGTCACACTCACACAGTCAGTCAGACTAATACAGTGAGTCACACAGACTCACACAGTCAGTCAGACTTGCACAGTCACACTCACACAGTCAGTCACACTCAGTCAGTCAGACTCATACAGTGACAGTCACACTCACACAGTCAGTCAGACTCATACAGTGACAGTCAAACTCTCACAGTCAGTCAGACTCATACAGTGACAGTCAAACTCACACTCACAGTTAGTCAGACTCATACAGTGACAGTCACACTCACACAGTCAGTCAGACTCATACAGTGACAGTCAAACTCTCACAGTCAGTCAGACTCATACAGTGACAGTCAAACTCACACAGTCATTCAGACTCATACAGTGACAGTCAAACTCACACTCACAGTCAGTCAGACTCATACAGTGACAGTCACACTCACAGTCACTCAGACTCGCACAGTCACACTCACACAGTCAGTCAGATTCGCAGTCACACTCACAGTCAGTCAGACTCACACAGTTACACTCACACAGTCAGTCAGACTCGCACAGTCACACTCACACAGTCAGTCAGACTCGCAGTCACTCAGACTCGCACAGTCACACTCGCACAGTCACACAGTCAGTCAGACTCGTAGTCACTCAGACTCGCACAGTCACTCAGACTCTCCTACAGACACTCAGTCTCTCCTACAGTCACTCAGTCTCTCGCACAGTCACTCAGACTCTCGCAGTCACTCAGACTCTCGTACAGTCACTCAGACTCTCCTACAGTCACTCAGACTCTCCTACAGTCACTCAGACTCTCCTACAGTCACTCAGACTCTCCTACAGTCACTCAGACTCTCCTACAGTCACTCAGACTCTCGCACAGTCACTCAGACTCTTGCAGAGTCACACTCACACACTCAGTCAGACTCGCACAGTTACTCACACGGTCAGTCAGACTCGCACAGTCATACTCACACAGTCAGTCAGACTCGCAGTCACTCCGACTCGCACAGTCACTCAGACTTGCACAGTCACACTCACACAGTCACTCAGACTCACAGTCACACTCACACAGTCAGTCAGACTCATACAGTGACAGTCACACTCGCACAGACAGTCAGACTCGCAGTCACACTCACACAGTCAGTCAGACTTGCAGTCACTCAGACTCACACAGTGACAGTCACACTCACAGTCAGTCAGACTCATACAGTGACAGTCACACTCACACAGTCAGACTCATACAGTCAGTCAGAATCGTAGTCACTCAGACTCGCAGTCACACTCACACAGTCAGTCACACTCAGAGTCAGTCAGACTCATAGTGACAGTCACACTCACACAGTCAGTCAGACTCATACAGTGACAGTCAAACTCTCACACACACAGTCAGTCAGACTCATACAGAGACAGTCACACTCACACAGTCAGTCAGACTCATACAGTGACAGTCACACTCACACAGTGACAGTCAAACTCACACAGTCAGACTCACAATCACAGTCAGACTCATACAGTGACAGTCAAACTCACACTCACACAGTCAGTCAGACTCATACAGTGACAGTCACACTCACAGTCACTCCGACTCGCAGTCACACTCACACAGTCAGTCTCGCAGTCACACTCACAGTCACTCAGACTCGCACAGTTACACTCACACAGTCAGTCAGACTCGCACAGTCACACTCACACAGTCAGTCAGACTCGCAGTCACTCAGACTCGCACAGTCACTCAGACTCGCACAGTCACTCAGACTCGCACAGTCACTCACACAGTCACTCAGACTCGCACAGTCACACTCACAGTCAGTCAGACT